CGTGCACAAGACAGGGCTCTGCAGTCTGATGTGGAATGTGCAGTGTGGGTGACAGTCCTCAGTCCTGCATGGAAATTATCTGCCTTTCCAAGCATGGGACAGAGCTGTGTCTCCAGGTCGCTTTGACTGGGTGTGACCCCATGGCTAGTCCTGGCCTGTCTACCCATGATCCCAGCTGGCTGGAAGGAGGGTCACATCTGACATAGTGAGATGCTATGGAAACTGACTGTCTCCTTTTTTTTTTTTTTTTTTTTTTGGTCTGTCTCTCACTTTCTCATGAAAGAAAGAAATTTTTTTAAAAAATTCACCAGTGGGACCAGCAGATGGCACAGTGGTTAAGGCTCTGGATTCCCACATGGTCAACTGCAGTTCAAGTCCCAGACGTGGTAGCTTGAAACTCACACCTGACCCATATGTGTACACGCCCACAATCCCAAGAAGAGACTGCGGTGTGGCCATCCCCCCTAGGGGATGATTTCTCACTTTCCATCTCTCTGTCTCTTTCTGTCTCTCTGGTGAGCCATATAGCAAAACTCTCAAAAAAAAAATTAATAAATCAACCAGTTATTTCCTGAGCACCTCTGTGGCCAAACATCCTGGAATCTGTGAAGTACACTCTCCCCACCATCACCCATCACAAACCCGACAGGATCAAAGGGGCTGTGTGCTTCTGAGAACAAGATTCATCGGAAGCTCAAGTCTAAAGAGAATCAGGCCTTCAGCTCCCTGGGGAAGGTTGTGGATCTGGCTCACCTGGGTTTCCAGCGAGCTGGGCAGCAAACACAGGCTTCCGGTCACATCTGGTGATGAGTGAATAAATAAATAAATAAATAAATAAATGAATCTATCTTATTGAATGCACTGTCATTTGTAGCTCTTCAAACCAAAAGCAAATGATCAAAATCAGTGAAGAAAGCCTAAAGCCAGTGAATGGCAAACCACAGAGCACAAGGTAAAGACCGGTAAAGGGTTTTACAGGCCAGCTCACGGGCTAGTCAGACGTGGGTGCGAATCCCACTTCTCCGCTCGTGGACTGGGGGGAGCTGGACAAGCAGTGTTATCGCTCCAACTCAGTTCCTCGATTAGTACACTAGGGGAGCTTGTGTCTTTCTCATAGTGTTGCCATGGGAGATTAAACAAAGTAATTCACTTAACGCACCTAGGACAACACCAGTGCCAGGGCTAGTATCAGCTAACAGCGCTATCATCATCACTGTTATTATCACGGATGGCATAAGGGTACGTTGCTGGACTCCTGTGTAGTTGACTGCGGTTCAAGTCCTGGATCCAGTTACTTAAAACACACTGGGCGGGTATGTGTGCATACCCAAGATCCCAAGAGAAGAATGAAGAAGGGATTGTGGTGTGGCCATCCCCCCGTCAAGAGTGATTTCTCATTATCTGTCTCTGTCTGTCTGGAGAGTGCACGGACCTTATAGCAAAAAATATCTCTTTAAGAACAAAAGAAATGAGGGGACCAGCAGTTAGCGTAATGGCTATGTTGCTGGACTCCCATGTAGTCGACTGCGGTTCCAGTCCCGAACCCCATAGCTTAAACTCACACCGGGCGCGTGTGCATGCGTGCCCAAGATCCCGAGAGGAGAATGGAGGAGAAGGGACTGCAGTGTGGCCATCCCCTCTGGGGGGTGATTTCTCGCTTTCTGTCTCTCTGTCTCTGTCTGTCTGTCTGGTGAGTGCACGTGCCCTATAGCAAAAACCTCTCCAAAAAAAAGAAAAAAAAGAAACGAAAAGATAGAGAAGCAGAAGCTGAACCCATGAACTGGAGCCTGCCTTCCTGGAAGTCACACACCACGCCGACAGGCTTAAAGAAAGGGCGAAATTAAACAGCGCCTCCGTTGCTATTTGAACAAGCAGGTGTGGAGTGGTCCTGTTCTTTCTCCCGTACCTTCCTGGAGGGACAACAGTACTGAGATCCAACAGTCTGTAATTGCCATGCGTTCCGTACTGTCCCTGGCACCCTGATGGGTGTGGCTGCTTCTTGTTCTCAGTGTGCTTATTATTATCACTCACCTGGGCTAAATTGATCCCCCACCAGCAGCTGGGAGACGGCCAGCCATGAGCTCAGGCATTTGGAAGGTCAGCTCAAGAGGCAGCATCTTCCTAGCAACAGTTGCCAGGGAGGATTATGAGGGTGGACTCAACTCCCAGGGGAGATGAAGACACAGAGGGCGAAATAATTGACATTTGTTTGAACAGGGCAGGGTGAGGAGGGGGCGGGAGGGGTTGCTATTATGAAAGGCACGTGCAATCTCTGCAGCCAGTGTGTTGCCCTTTTTCTTTGGGAGAAGTTCTGGTGGCTGTTATTTTTATGTGTGTGTGTGTGTGTGTGTGTGTATGTATGTATGTTAGATTTTTGCTCTAGGCTGCGTGTGCCCACCAAAGAGACAGACAGAGATAGAAAGACAGAAAGCGAGAAATCACCCCCCAAAGGGGATGGCCACGCCACAATCCCTTCTATTCCATTCTCCTCTTGGGATCTTGGGCACGCACGCACACGAGCCCAGCATGAGTTTCAAGCTGCCAAGTCCAGGACTCGAACCACGGTCAACTATGTGGGAATCCAGCGATGTAATCATTACGCCATCTGCTGGTCCCTATTTTCTTTTAATGTCATTTTATTTTTCCTAAAATCCTAGAGATGAAAACTATTCACTCCAAAGTTTCTTAATCTTATCAGATCTAACATTCCATTTTTTATAGCAATTTTTTTTTTTGGTTTATTTGCTATAGGGAGTGTGCGCTCACCAGAAAGAGACAAAGAGACAGAAAGCGAGAAATCACCCCCCAAAGGGGATGGCCACGCCACAATCCCTTTTCCTCCATTCTCCTCTTGGGATCTTGGGCACGCATGCATACGTGCCTGTTGTGAGTTGAAGCCACCGGGTCTGGGACTCGAACCGCAGCTTACTGCATGGGAGTTCAGCAACATAGCCACTACGCTAACTGCTGGTCCCTTTTATAGCAAATATTTTACCACATGTCCTTCATTATTCTGAAACAAGACCGTGGAGGGATAGCTTACCTTAGTAGATAACTTTCAAAGATAAAATAGTGCTCAGGCTGGCAGGTGGTGTGGTGGTTAAGGGCGCTGGACTCCCACATGGCCAAACACAGTTCGAGTCCCGGACTTGGCAGCTTGCTTTCTCACTTCCCCAGTTTCTCTCTCTCTCTCTCTCTCTGTCTCTGTCTCTCTCGTCACTCTGTCATATCCTGTCATATCCCAGGCCATCATGGTCTCACAGTGCTTCCTGGAAGCATTTCTATGTTTCCGCCATATTCAGGAATGTCTAACAAAACAAAACAAATTCATGAGATACTATCAAGATTGAAATGTACTCCAGGGCTTGCCCCCCACCCCACCCCAGTCCTGGGAACTAGTCTTCAAGTGCAGACATCTGGGGAGTGCAAGGGGCCCTGACTGCATCTGGACCCAGTACACGCAGACCAAGCGGACACGCTCAGAGCTCATTCCAGCCAGAGGTTTCATTCTGGGTTTGGCAGTCATTTTGGGGTTTTTGTGTCCTAGAGATATTTAACTCTGCCTTTAATTTAGGTTTAATAGGCAGCTATTATGTTAAATAGAGACCAGCTGAACTGATTATTTAAGACATAGTTATGGTTGTTGAATAGCTATGCGGTTTGACTGCTACATCTCAATAAAGATTTTCTAGTACGCACCTATTCTTGCCGATTTGCATTTGGTAACTGTCCTCACCTAGCTGGGTCCTCTCTTGAACCGTGGCCTGAGGGCCCAGAACCATCCTCCTCTTTATCTTCTCTTGGTCCCCCATACTAGTTTTGCTGTCTGAGTATCCACTGAGATCCGGAAACTGGAGCTGAGACCCCCTACAGACATGGCTGCTGGCCAACCACCTGTTAAGCACATTCCAGACTTCTCTCCTAGGGACAGCGTGGTTTTGCTGGGAAGCTCAGAGACCACAGCTGAGTCCAGGAGGTGATTAAGTCACTTAGGATTCCTCCAGAAACAGAGTTTGCATATATTAATAAGAGAGAGAATGAGAAAGAAAACTCCAGGAGTACGAAGTCTCTAGAAGCTTCCTCAAGTATGTGTAATGTTACTTAAAAGGGTGATTCACGGAGCAGTGCCAGTCTGTGACCTGTTCTAACCGGTCCACAGATCAAGAAGGAGAATTTAGGAATGTCTGTAGCAATTTGTAAATGCTATGGTAACCAAGCATGAACTTGACAGACCTGGCTCCTTGAACAGGGTATAGACTAGTTTGGGCATCTTGAACTCATGTGCAGCAGGGCATATGAAGCGCAAACGCAGTTATTCATGTGTGGTGAAGACCCCATATCCATCTGCCAAGGAATGAAAATGTGGGAACCAGCAGATGGCATAATGGTTACATCGCTGGATTCCCACGTAATCGACTGAGGTTCAAGTCCCCAGATCCAGTGGCTTAAAACACGCCAGGTACGTGTGCGTGCGTGCCCAAAATCCCGAGGAGAATGGAGGAGAAGGGATTCCAGTATGCCCATCCCCCCCCAGGGAATGATTTCTCACTTTCTCTCTCTGTCTCTCAGTCTCTCCAGTGAGCACACGCACCCTATAGCAAAAAATCTCTCTCAAAAAACAAATTAGAAATTTTAGAACTGCTCTCTCAGCTCAGATCCTTGGAGACCCACTTCCTTAGGGCTGTATGTCTCTCCTCATTTGTCTCCCATCTTCCTGCCCAATTTGCAGGTTGCAGGACTTTTTTTTCTTTCAGGTTTGTTGCCACAGGGCGTGTGAGCTCGCCAGAGAGAGAGAGAGGGGGAGAGAGAGAGAGAAAATGAGAGAGAAAGTGAGAAATCACACCCCCTGATGGATGGCCATACCACAGTCCCTTCTCCATTTTCCTCATGGGATTTCGAACATGCATACACATGTGCCCAGTGTGAATTTCAAGTAGTATTCAAATTACGATCAGCGATGTGGGAGTCCAGTGTCTTCACCACCACTCCACCTGCTGGTCCCCATCCCCATAGCAGGACTTTTAAACATCTACGTTATGTGCATTTAGAGATGGTCAAAAACATCGATCTAATGTTACCTATATCTTTACCACAATAGAAAAGTGACCATCTTTTTTAAGCTGAATCCTTCTGTCTCCAGAATCAAATGAAAACTGTTTCCTTGTTTAGAAATCAAACCAAGATTGAATATACCAAAGCCTCCTGAACGATATACTTAGAAGGGGTGAATTTTGTGCTATGGGAATTGTATCTTAGTAAAGCTGCTCTTTTGGGGGCCAGCATAGGTTCAGATCCCTGACTCGGTCAACCTGAAACACATCTGTGCTCAAGGTCCCGATGAACTGGAGGGTGGGGGAAGGGGCTTATGGCTGGATGAGATCTATCAAGATGCTACTCTCTTTCTCTCTCTCTCTCACTTGCGTGCATGCTCACACAGGTGCCGTCATGAATAAAATACAAAGAAACTCTAAAAATGTTCCAAAATGACTCAATCGAGTGTTACCTCATGCTTCATACATAGATCTATTCTTCAAAATACTTCGACTTCATGATTAAATACAAAATATTTTCCTGGAAAACATTTTCTGTTATTTTCCCCTGTATGTGATCATGGAAGACATACCGTTTTGAATTGTATAAGTAGGCAGTTTAGGCCAAGTGTCAGTTTCATCCCAGGAGAGTAGACAGGGCATTTCAGTGTAACGGCCATGGATGAGAGGTGGGTCTGGTGGGGCCAGCGGTCACTGGCCTGACCTGGCTCACCAATGCCACCACCCCCCATGTGCAGCTTGCCTGGCAC